CCATAAAAACCACCATCAACTATATTTTTATGCCTTAAGCTCAGGAGTTTTTTTTCACTGCTGGTCGGATTTATGTTTAAACGCTTCCCTTGACTATGCCTGTAAACTGGCATTAAATTAAAATTTATTTATTTATTTATTTAATAAATCTCTTGTCCCGGCGATCGTGTCTTCTTCTTCTTCTTCTTCTTCTTCAATAAATGCACTTAATTTACAGAGAAGTCGCCTAGCCCGTGGTCTCCTGCGGGGTTGCAGGAGGAACCTAACTTTCGAGGCGGCGAGGCGGTGGTCCACCCTGCCGTCGCGGTCGCAGATTGTCTTGGTCAGTAGCAGATCCTGTCGTTCTCGCTTGCGGACGAGAATATAGTCCTGCAGCTGCCAGCGCGACGATTTGGGGGCATCCGGGATGCCTTATTCCGTGCCAAAACGCGGAAGAATTTACTGGTGAGGAGAATGAGGTGTTCTGCGCAAGTCCATGTTAGGAGGATGCTGCTGTCTTTCCACCCACCGAGTTCAGGCGAATACAGCACTCCCTCCCAGGTAGCGCGATTAGCCTCATCACAGGCACAGAATTCACCATGGACAGTCCGTTTGCCCGCCTTCGTCATAGTTGCCAGGAGTGAGTGCAGGTCGCCTTTGATCTTGTTTCTCACCTCGTTAGAGTTGGTTATTGGGGGAACCCAGACGCCGACGACGGTTACGCATTTGGATCCTCGAAGAGACAGGCTTAAGTTCAAGTGGAGGTCGTTGATGTCGTGCTGTAGAGAGGATAACCATTCAAATATGTCTTTCTGGATGACAAGGGGGAAGTTAGCGCGCAGTCGCTCTGCCACTGAGCGGCCGTCTCAGAAGGTGTAGTCGGCACCGATCTCATCCAGTTGGCTTTGTTCGTTGTCCACCTTTTGATGCGCCAGTTATCGAACGATAAGGGCCAACCCATTACTGGCCGGTTGCTCCCTAGATTGCCCAACAGAAAATGGAAACTCCAGACTGACGGAATGTGCATACTCTCAGTAACAGCCTGTGGGGTGGGACAGGGATGCGGGTAGTAGTTGTTGTTCATTTAATTGTTTCCACGGGGCCACGGTTTGTGCGCAGATAACCGTATGCCAACATCTGTTCGGGCCTTCTCCTCTGTGGAGGCGAAAAGTACTGTCCCTAAATAAAACAGCTGAAGCATCCTGACGGCTGCCAATCATCAACAAGGGCTGCGAATTTGATGGGTGTAAAAGCGACCCAAGTTGATCAAGATTGCATACGGGACTGCTGGTCGTCGTCTACGTATAATTTTTGAAGTGGGAGGGAAAGGGAGGGACGGCAAGGGGAGCAAAATGGTCGGTCGTGAAGACACATTTCCGGATAACCTCGCCTGTTTAAACCCGCTAGTCAATGCGGCTGCCGGAGTATGACTACCAGACAGAGCCTAACTTCGGGGATCCAGAGGTGAAAGTTGAAAGTCGGTTAATAGCCGTGAAGAGCGGTCAACATCTGCATGAGGCAAGTGGTACCACCTACCACACCTACAGAGCTTATCTCTATGTAGACACCCTTAAGCCAAATTTTACAGGATAATTCAGGGGTAACAAGCAATCCACTGTTATTGTTCCCCACATTTTCAGTTTTTTTTCTGAACTGTTCCCTCAATCTTTCGTTTGAATTTTTTATATAATATGCTGAATTCGTTCTGCAATCCTATTCCGGTACTGCATGTATGCATGTATGTATGTATATATTGAAGGGTTACAGGCAGTGTCCTTGTAAACTCATATTTAGTATATTAACAAAATAATATGCTTCTACCCGCAATGTAATCAGTTACGTTGTGGGTTTTTTCACGACATGGGGCTTGTACATATGTGACGTAAGTTATGTTGTTCCCGCGAACTAACGAACTACGGCTTACTAACCTCATAAACGGAGAGAGGTAAGGAAGGCCAGTAAGTGAATAAAGTTAATATTCAAAATGTGCAACGACCTGACCAGAGAGCATGCAAGCGGCGCGAAGCTTACAAGCGGCGGAGTCCTCGTCACGTTAAAACAAATGCTACAGTAAAACAAACGTGACAAGATTGTCAAAGTACTTCAGCACATATGCAACGATTACGCCACCTTCCTGATTAGCCAGTGCAAATTAACGTCCCCCCAAATAATCCTCGCCTCGGCGCAAGTAACGCCTGTGGCGGCCAGCCATCATGACCGGTCTGGCGCCATTGTTAAATATCTCGCTGCCTCAAGGTCATTCACCCTTTGCAGGGAGCCTTTGCAGACGCGCTAACCTGAAGTCGCTCGACCGACTTCAGCTCGAACACAATTGCGTCCTCACACTCTCGCGGCTACCCATGAGCCACTTAAACGCGCCACTCCCTGCAACCAGCAAAACAAGCCACTGGGACACCACCCCTCGGCAAATGCAGCACACACTGACTGGCCACCACTTGAGCTTGGCCCACGAGCCTACAAATGCGGCCGCCACCACTATCTCAGGGACTCTCAGGCATGACTGGACGCAGTCAACACTAGCCCTGGCTTCGCCAGTGGCCACTGCTGCCTATGAGGACAACTCCGGATTCTGCATATATTAAACCCCCATTCTGGTGCCATCCGCCTTCTCCTCCCAATCTGGGATTTGACTTGATAATTGTAGCCCACAGACTGCAAACATTCTCACTGCTGTGTCGCTACACACCCGTATCGAGCGTGTTATTTACGCTGAGGCGAGGATTTGTGCAGATCGATAAGGAGCTGCTCGGAAAAACCTACGGGGCATTAGTTCGGTCGCACTTAGAGTATGCAGCCCAGGCCTGGCGTCCGTGATTGAAGAAGGATTATCTTAAGCTGGAAAGAGTGCAAGCAATGGCTACGAAGATGGTTAAAAATCCTGATCATTGCCTTATGAAGTCAGACTGGCCGAAATAAATCTGTTTGCCCTTAATTACATGCAAATGCGCGGCAATCTCATTCAAACCTGCCGGATTGCCAGGGGCCGTGAGTGTGTCCTAAACTTCGACGGTTTCCTTGAATTGGCTGGGACGGACCGTCTGCGTGGTCACCCACTTAAACTGCAGAGGAGACTGGACCATGCAGACGTCCGGCGGAACGCCTTCTCGCAGAGGCTCATTGGGGCATTGAACGGACTTTCTGACGCAGCGGCTCTTTCCGGAACTGTTAAATCCTTTAACTGTAGACTAGACGCTCATATGCTGAGAAACTACTAGACGCATAATCACGATTGTGTCATTGGTGGCAGTTTGCTCCCGGCTCACACATACACATAACTTTTAAATTTTCAGAATTACCAATGTAGCAATTGATTCTATTGCTGTCTATCGATATGAATAGAGTAAAGACCCCATTCCGTCAATAAACTGACTTATGTGACTGTTTTTGAGTAATTTCCCTCCCATATTTGCACCAGTGACCTGATATTTATGTACTTCTTTCAACATCTGGCAAATATCAGTTCCTAGGACATTCTTCTGTCCAGCAGGACAATACTCATGTCGCTTCATAGACGGACAGATGGGGCCTCGTGGCGAAAGTGAGGGTATCCAAGATCTTCATACGTGACCCGCAGTTAGACTTCCGAACATATCTTTCTACGGCGCCAAGTAGTGGGTGCATTTTAAAGTTCAGTCAGCTCAGTCCATGGGATCAGTTTTTAACTTTCCGTTGATTCTTTGCCGCGTTCAGGTGCAGGAATTCTGTCCGTTCTTGACTGGATATTTTTCCTTCGTTCTTATTTTTCTCGAATTTTTTGTTCACGCTGTATCATCCTTTTTGTATGCTACCTTTGTCATACCGATTTTACTGCTGGTAGCTGTTTTCATGCGAACTGACTTTTCTATAGCCACCCGTCCATATTTCCTGCTGCGTACTTGGTAGGCCCATCCTGGCGTAGGGTATTAAAACACTCAAAGTTCTTTGACTTTTCAGGTCAATTCTAAGTTACTCATGAACTCTGCTGACTTTTCGAATCTTATCTCAAGAATACAAGATGCACAAAAGCTTCGAAAATTGCTAGCACCATTTTTCTTTCATTTCTTTCCTCACAATCCTTTCAGCATTTCTCCCTCATCGTTAAGACCTCTTGTCCCGGAGTTCAGTTTCTTTTCAATATCGCCGTTGTCGCTTCACTGCTACGATTTTATGACTCCGTCTCATTCCAACCAACGTCTTCCCCTACGTCCCAAGTAGGGAATTAGGCGGTCGGTTTTGGTTTCAATCAGAGCGGATATTTAGCCGACTTCGTTCAGAATTGTTCAGTTGTTGGAGTAAATGTTTCTGTCGCCCAGTCTTGAGAAGTTTGTCAAATAATCTCCTAACTTGTGACAATTTCGACTCTTGTGACGACTGAATGCCCCGTTTGATCATTATCTCGTACCTCCGACGAGGCATTGGAGTAAAAGTCCAGTGATTCCCAACGGCAAATATGCGCTCGCTCTTGGGTTACCTTTTCTTATGCAGGAATTGGTCGCACAAACTTTTGAGCTTACTGCACGACATTGAAATGGCCACTATTAGCGTGATTTAAATGCGCTAATTCAAGTTTCGTCGGTCCACCATCTTGCTCCTCTGCCGGCTTTCTGGTTTGTCCCTTAATATATTTGCCTTTTTGTCTCAGTTAAATTCTTAATTTTGTTTCTTGTACTCTGCGATGCGTGGTTCTCCATTTAAGTTTATTATTATGCTTGAAACCGGTATTTTCCCTCGCTGTCTATTTTTAGGTAGCTTTACTGGGATCCCTCCACACTGAAAAATGGTGAGTACTCGCTTGTAAAACGCATATAAATATTGCCTTTGCTGCGATTCTTCTGTTTTGCATATTTTTATCCGAGTGCTCGTGTTCTTGGGTGCTGTCTAACTCAAGAAGTAGACTCGTCCTACCAGCATTGCTATATTACTTCTGCCTGTGTTTCTCGCACTTTTCCGCTTATCTTAGTGCTGTTTTATCTTACCTCCCTGGAAGACATCCCTAAATATCATCCCACCGACTCAGTGCTATTTTTACCAGATTTGTTCACGTGATCCATTCACTTCTTTGTTTTGCTGCTTCTGTAACAAGAATCATTTCGAAAAAATCCACGAAATTTTCCTCTACCGATAATTTTTAATGTCTGTATTTTCTCAAACATTAGTAATGGCAGTTGCCCATAGTTGTTGCAGCTTTCCAGTCTCTGTTAGAACCTTGCTTATTTTCTAGGTCCGTATAGACTATCGCAAGCCAACCCTCTAACGCTGAACAAAATTACAAGTTCCTCGTAACGGTTACTTGTGTATGTAGGCATTCTGTTATTTGGTTTCTTATAACAGTTGCTTATAGCGCCTTATCGTGAACCCCTTTCACACAGAAAGATTTCTTAATTTCTGCTGCTTTTACTGGGTAGTCATAACTTCTGATCACCTTGTACTGACTAGTAACCAATCATTACCGATTTTTGACGGTCTTCAGTTACCCCCTGTGGTGGGACCACTGGCAACCCATCCCACCGCCGGTGTTGGCGCCCCGATGTCGTATGCACCACAATGGCCCACCAATGTCACACCGCATGGTATTTCGCCAAATCAAGTGTCTCCTCAGGGCGAAATTTTGCAAAATTCGGCCGGCATAGGTCACAACGGCGTTTTGTACAGCGCCTTCAATCCAAATACCCTGCGTCAGCATGCTTCTCACTTACATATTCCTATGGTTGGCGGGCAGACCGTTAACCAGGCCTCACCATCCCCAAGTGGCACCGGATTTTGTCCCGCCCCATTGCCGTCTGGCTACTCTCTCCTCAATCCGGCTCTCCTTACTGCCTTCGCCGCCCAGCCCAGTGCGACGCCCTCCCGCCCTCCAAATTTCTACATTCAACAGGGTTCTACACAACCTGGCGCAGTTCGCGGCGCCCTTCTTTCCTCTCACGCATTTCAATTGGCTCACCCGGGGTCGCACAACATCTCTCCGGGTCCAGTGTGTATAGGTCAACAGCCTACTCTTCACAACCCTTTCCAGTACATCCCCACACCAAACGGCCTGCAACTGGCGGCATTTTCTGCTGGCATAACTAGTCCGCCCGGCATTACAAATCCGTCAATGTGTTCATTTGCCCATCCATCTCCTATGCAACATGGTTCGCAACAACAACCGAATTCGTTAGGTCCCGTGCAGTTCCGGAGTTATGATTCTCTCAAGCATTTTGGAGCATTACCTCACCCACAGGTCTGCTTTTTCTCCTTTACCCTGAGGCCTTTGCGTGCCTGTCCCGCCTTTTGGCTTTGCTTAGTCACCTCTTCACCATTATTTGTCAAAATATGTTATTCAGCCACTGCAGCTACTTCAAATCACTTGGCCGAGATTGTGGGGAACGTCGCAGTGCACCCCTAAAATGTTGAAATTAGGTCTTACGGTGACCCTTGGGTAAATACCATACCTGAAGTGCCAAATACTTGAAGCTTTATTTCGGTCCGATCATAAGTGCATTCTTATGACGACGGCTTTGTTACCTCAAGGAATTAGATTGCGACATACTGCAGGTAACTCTCACTAGCTTCCCAACGTTTTTGTAAACCACCGGCTGTCTGTTTCTGTGGGTGTTTTTGACATTTCATCCTGCGCCAACGTACACGATCTAGTTAGACTCCTGGCTTCTATCTTTTTAGACATGCTGAGGCTGCGCGTTTGAGTTAACAACTCATCTTGTTCAGACTTCCATAGTATTAATTCCCGGGCTCACGGAACAATTCGCTTTTTCTCAAACTGAGCAGCGTGGAACACGCGTATCGTACCTAAAACCATTGTTCCCTGGTTGACCCTCACCTCCTTTCACCTGTCAGCGACCCTTTACGTTACGGTTCTTTATCCCATCTCCCTCTGCTGTCTGCTGCACTACCGAGCATGTCTTTGAGCTGAGACTTTGTGGTATTTTTAGAACCAGAAGAGAAATAAATCGATGACGACTTCCAAGACCAATTTATACATATCCGGACTCTCCGAATCAGACACGGATGAAACCGTCCGTGCACTTGTTGAAGATGTCGTTTGTCCAAAATCATGCAAGGCGATGCTTCTAAACGGGAGGTGCAAAGGTACTTTGTATTCGTATTCTATGCGGAAAATTAAGTTTATCAATGCAACTTTTCTTCCAGTGTTTAGGCTACGCGTCATCCGCGACCCTTGCCGGTTAGTCAGTACGTTTCAGATGTGATGGTGGTGTACCTAAAATCAATTATTATTCATGTCATCCCGGGATTAGCTAATCAGACATATTATTCCCGCCGTCTTTATCTATGAACTCCCAGCTCTGTTTTCCGAAGTAGGCATCAGTTTGAAAGACTTCAAGTGTCCAACTTTACCATAGTCATCATTAGCACTCAGGCGCAGTTTTCAGTGAAATGGATGCTTTTGATACATCATGAGGAAATACTGTACTTACATCTCTGTAGGTTCAGTGCGCAGGCAGGCCGTTTGTTTAATATGGCTGGACCGTACGTAGAATAAAACATTTTTGTTTTGAATAAAAATGGTACATTCTTCCGCTCACTTTTCCTCCAACATTTTTAATAATGTGTGTTTATCACAGAGATGTAATGCCAAATGCGTACCGGAGTGGGACCACGACGAGGAATTTGAGAGAAACATCTAGTAAATATTGTTATGAATAACGCTAGTCAACCATTTTACAGGCCAATATAGAGGAACGCGTAATACGAATGCTGCTTTATTTATATGCGAAGTACTGAAGGCCGTTTAGAAACCTTTCCATGCACGAACGTGTATTTTCAATTTATACCCTGGCCTAAGTAACCAACCCTATGCTTGACCATTATTTACTCTTCTATGTGGGCTCGTAAGGAACGCATAGCCCTGTCAACAAGCCAGCATTGTGGAAAATCTAATCGTTCTTCCATGCATTTCTGTCATGAATTGTGTTTGCATGGGAGAAGTCATGCCGGTCTTTCGGGCCTATTGAGACTTAAGTGCGGCCTCTGCCACCCTACTCTCCTCTGCTGTAATTGGGCTCATGTGCATTTCCTGATACCGCCTCTTACCGAGAGCACTGATGGTCCTTGTTTAGCATAGCGAGCGAATGGCCGTCTTGAAGGTCAACGTTGCGTAAGCCATACGGGCTTCCAGCCCCCCCCCCTCCCAAAAAAAGTATGCTTCTTTTCGGGAGACGCCAGTTTGAAAGCCAGCGTCGCCGTATATTTCTGCCAAGACACCTGCAATGAGTAGTCTTCATTATTAATTTTCCAGTTTGGCGTTTGACTTCGTTATGTTTTACTCACTCTTCTCGAATGCGTAACCGTCCTTTTTCATTGCGTCAGGTTCCGGCTTTATCGATTGTGTCTCAGAGGAGGATGCCATAAAGGCCTTGAATCACCTTTCTGAATTAGCCAGGAGCGGCGGTCGCAAGCTCAACGTGAAATACGCTCTGGAGAATGAGAAAGACTTGCTCAATGTGTATGTAAAGAACTTGCCGCGCACTGGTTTTACCAAGGAGACCCTAGAAAACCTCTTCCGACCCTACGGTCAGGTGACGTCTGTAAAGCTCTTGGAAACAGACGGCAACTACACTGGTGAGTGCGACTTCAGTTGAAGCCGAGGTGTTTCTTGTCTCGCCTTCTTGTTCTCTGTTACGTTGCATCTGTAGGTAGATCTCACGGGTGAGATAATTTGTTGTGCCAACTTCTTATTTGGTAGGGCTTCTACCTTATCCGTCATAATTAGACTCAATTGAGGAATTCGCCCGCAGCTGTCCTGTCTCTGGTTTGGAGCCAGGAATTAGTTCATCCTACGACTCTGATCTGCAGGAAGGATCGGATTCCCGCACTGAGTATCACGTTCAACTTTCTTGATTCAGGAGCCTGACTCGCAATTGGTTGAAATTCCTCTGTTTAGAAGGGCTCTACCCTGGAAATCAGTACGCCGTCATCTCTTTGTCTCGGATATGAAGTCATTCGCGGAAGCTGTGACTACCACTTATCCCTTCCGTGAGGGGTGTCGATGTAGGGATCTTGTGGTGAGCCTTGAAGTGCGGAGCAATGCATCAGTGCGAATGAGTTGGGTATGAGGTCGCCTTAGCCAGGAGCTTGTTACATACCAGACCTTACTCTACTCATGGCACTTCAACCGTAGGACATCAGCCTGGTGTCCTCATATGCCGGACATCATCTTCCGGACGACTAACAGTAGCCTCAGGTCCCCATGCGGTTCCGCCATCAAATATTTCAATTTTTTCAGTGACTCAGTTTCTCCAAGAGGGTGCTGCTTTGCAACTACCTGGTGCCACACTTAAGTTTCCGAAGTTCGCGCTATCTTCGCCGTTGTTCAGCTTCACGGGTTGCGTTTTATTTCGGGTATCGTCAGTTGAGGTGGTCCTGAGGGTATTGTGTGCGCTCGCAAGACGATGCTTGGTTCGGAATGCTCGTTGAAGCGGGCCACCCGGTACGCCCGTTGCCCATGCCGGTATCCTAGTGCGATCAACATTAGACAAAGGTCTTATTCCACGTCACGCAACGCGGTCACTTTTGTCCAATCTGTTTGACTAGGACTTACCGACTATGTGAAGCGCATTTAACAAACTACACATGAAGCTGACAGTCGTGTTCTGGAAACTTGTCGAATGACGGTATAATTTAGTCCTACTCAGGTGTAGGGGTCAGGCTGCAGCGGCTCCTTATCGTGACTTTTTGACCTATGTGAGATCCGAGATGACATAGTTAAAAACTGGTTTATGTGGAGTTAGAAACGAGGACAATCGGTGCCCATAGTCGGGGTTCGATCTCTTCAGCCACCGCCCCCACGCTCACCTCTAGTCGTCATCTGTCAATGCAGATTAGTGAATGACAATGAGTTCCGTGACGCACAAGTATTTCTCGTCATAAATAAAGGTTGGCTCAGTTCACTACTGTGTCTCTCTGGAACAATGGCAATACTGTTCGCCAACGACGAATTAGCCTACTGTATTATAGCCTATTTTCGTTGGTCTTTGTTTTGCTAACCTCGCACTTCTTCACACCCAGGCATCGGATTTGTCAGGTTTGCTTCCGCAGAGCAAGCCCAGCGTGCTGTGGAGAGCATGAATGAGGCGCGCTGTGTGCTTTCCGATAGTCCTGGTGGCGGCAAGCCAATCTCCTGCAAGCTGGCTGATAAGGTGGATTCTAAGCGTCGAGCTGTCAATGCGGCAGCTGCGATGGCTGCAGCGGCGGCTGCCGCTGCCTCTGTTGCTGGTGGCGGTAGTTCCCACTCCGCCTCCGTCGGTGGGCGGGACGGGAGACAGCAGTCCTTCCCTTCCTCCGCAGTCGTCTCAGGTTGCAACGACGCTCCCCATCAGACAGTTCTTTCGAACGCCACTCACCTCCTTCAGACTCCCCAACAGCAACAACAACCAGGCCTTGCAAATTTGATCTTTCAACCAGGTAGCTCGTGCCTTTGTCCTGGCATAATGTGATATTCACTTGTGGGCTGGACAGAGTGCAAGCGTGGTCGCTTTTGGGCTCAGTAGAGCAACGCCATCGGTTCGGCTTTAGACGTAGAGATTAATAAGTCGTCTGGAATTCTGACATGACTACCCTGCTCCAATAATGTGCACGCCACGTCATCTCTGACGGCTATGGTCAGAATGCAAAAAAAGAACTGATTTCAAAAAGCATTCTATGTCACTGAAATTTCGAGGGTTTTATAGTGAGGACGAGCGTGTTGAAGTGGTCTTGTGCAAACTTCGAAGCGCTGTTTTATTGTGCTTGGCAGGGCTACGCTTAAGACAGGAATAACTGACTTCAATGACGCCTTGTACCACACTTCTTCACATACACACACATATGTCTGTGACACCGGGTTTGGCAAACTCCGAGCACTCGTCTCCAGCTCGGGAGATCAACTACCGAGGGTTCAAAAAACGTCATGACATCTTGACGAGTAGTGTCGGGTTAGGTTGCAATCTGACAGCTTTTTTCAGTGAAAGGGCGGCGTTGGTTTCGAGGCAGCACAAAACCCACATAATAGCGGACTTCATGAATGACCTCACGTTGTTGCCGTAACGAGCATGGGCAGTAATTTCGGAGGACGCCTCCATGCTTCGCTCATAAGATCGTTTTCTAATAGCTCTGGTTGAGGACTTCCAGTTTTATCGCGTCTGACGAGCGCAAACCAGCCTCCACAGCTGTCGTGGGGTGAGAGGCAGACCAGACGGGTTCCTGATAAATGCCCATGTGTTTAGCAGTTAAACTTGCACTGGACCACTTGACGCCTTTGGAGTGTAACAAACCTCGCAGCAAGCATTGATTCTGTCGACGATGTCCCGTTGGTGTAGCACCCTGTCTCTGGGCTATATTTGATGAAAGTTCCCGCCTCGTGCTGGATAACTGTCTTCTGGTCAGCCTCGATCGCCGAAGCGATTGATTTGATAGTTTAGCCGTAATGGGACTCAACCACGTCGTCTCTAAGCCCCCGTTAGAGTCAACGCTGTTGCTGTGGTTACGGTGGTAGCATCGGACTGGACAGTAGACGGGCATGTCATGGTCAGACTTGGAGGGGATAAGTTCGTAACCGATGACCACAAGGCGTGGACAGCAATGGTCCGTGATGCCATTTATCCTATAGCAGGCTAAACCAGCACTGGTTCTAGTCAATGTCCACAAAAGTGAATAGCCGGTTTACTGATCCCGATCATCCGAGAGGCTGTGTAGGTCTTTGTAACTCGGTGTTAATGTTGCTATCTCAACGTACTTGGGGTCAACTGTAACTCGGGCGTCGTACGAACCACGTATAGTTTTTTTCAGGAATCCAACCATTCAAGTTCAGTCAAATGGGTGCCAGGACGCCTCCTCGTCGGTCTTATCAAAGAATTCGCATAATCTCGCTGGCATAGGTAGAGCAACAATTGACTCTGATGGGAAAGTTTTTTTGCAATTGGAGTATGAGAGAAATCGTGTCGAGTCGTATGGAGAGACTGTATTCCTATTAGATCGGCGTGGAGTGGACGTTTTATCAGTAAGCTACCTTTCCAGTTCTCTCCGCCTGTGCATCATATGGTAGTCTCACAACTTCAGTCATCTCTCAAACCTATGAGTGTCGATATTCTACCGAAAGAGAGTGGTTCATCACCAAGGATTCCGTCTTCACACCCACTCTCTGCATCTCCTAGGCGTCCTCACTGATGGAACCCTCGTCTCGATACCTCCGGTCTGCCCACCTGCCTACCATCAAGTGGTGCCAACACAGGGTTACCGTCAATCGACAGCGACAACAAACACAGTCGCTGCTGCTACCGCCGGTGATGTGACCGCAACGATGGGTAGCGTCGGTTACACCAGTCCCACCACGTCCACCTGCACTGCTTCTTCGCTTTCTAGCCGCGGGGCTCTTCTTGAGGCCCCTCCCGCCGCTTCCCTCGCCCAGTCAGCCGATGTCCAGGGCCTGACTGTGATCCCTCCTGCCTCATCATCCCCCTCCGCCCAAGTTCCGGGTGTCGAATTACGATTTCAACCCACCACCCAGCAGCAACAGGTGAGTCGCAAATGGCCATATTCCTGACCGATGGGAGCTAGGACCTTCGCCGAGCCTCATGGGTAACAGGAAGCATTAAGTCAACGTTCCTAATTACTGAAGGAGCCAGTCGGTAGATAGAAGAACAGGTCTTCCTGTTAACCCTTCACGGACAATAAGTAGTGAAGGCGAGTGAACAGAGTAAAAGCTGAGTGAGTAGGCACTCAAGTCCGTCAGCTAAACAGCGATAGCGTTGTCAAGGTGCGGAGGGCTGATATCTGACACACCGGCTATCTTTTAAAGTACCATAAAGCCAAATAACGTCGATGTGTTGTACCGCTTCCGTTTCAATTCAGTTAAAAGAACGCCGAAAAATATAACCTCGAACAAGAAGTCGGGACGGCTGTTTAGGACTTGCTTGCTCTCATGATTCCCAGAAAACGCCGTACGTATACTATCTGCAATTGCTATTGGAATCCGTGCTACGCCGTCCGCGATAACTGACGCACTCAGCAGCCCTGGTTCAATGGCGCACACAAATACTATGCTAGGCAGGCTACTCAATTAAGACCAGGCACATGAGATTGATCTCCTGCATGCATGAACATTCCTCGACCCCAGTCCACATAGTCTAAAAACGTTTGAGTTGCGAAAATTCCCATCAAAAGATCCAGATAATTAGTTGACGAGCATACATATGCTTTTTTTCCTGAAACGGGCCACGCGGCAGATGTGCTGAACCAACGGGGGGGGGACTACAGAGGTGTCCTGCAGACGTTATCGTGAGTGCGCATCCATAACAAGCTGTGGTCGCACGCCCATGTACAGGCTCGCGTCGCACCAACTGGGATCCGATTCGTCCCCTATTTTTGTTGTATAAAATCCTGATCGGTGTGCGTTGTGGGCCAGGGACTGTGGTGGCATGTCTGGGCGCGGGTTTTCGCCCTGCCAACCGCCTGTTCTCCTGTTTCCGGTCTACTTGATTTTGTCTTGACACCGGGTCCACCCCGGGGGGAGGAGAAAGTGCGGTAGGTGCAACGCTGTACGTTACGCCCACTGACCCAGGAATCTGGGTTCGAATTTCGGGTGATCTACACTCGGTGTGGGGTATTGCCGACTGACGACGGTCAGCAAGCCAGAAATGGTCATCTCGATCACAACCGACCAGACAAGGGGCTTGTGGTTCAATTGTGGAACATTGGACTACTTGACGCTAAATGATCCAAGAACCCGGATTCGAACCCGGTCATAACGATCCCCCTTATCCTTGTCGGCTCTCCTGCCTACTCTACAAACATCTTTGTCGTTTATCCCTGTGCGCGCGCCAATGTCAATCCTGGCTAACACGGTAAAACAACGTACCTACACCCATAGGACTTCGTTGATAAACTTCCTCGCCATGATCTGTCGATCCTTGTCGGGGACTGGAATTGTAGGTCTGGATATGGTGAATCCACACTATTATTGGTTATTCACGTGGCAATGATGAAAGGATGCTGAGTCTAATTAATCGGAACTGGATATTTGTCGCTAGCACGCGCTTTCATCGTCGTTGCAAATATCCAACCTGGTACTCAAATTATGGTTACATGTACAGCCCAAATGACTGCATTCTTGCCAGACCGATATTTCGTAGTGGAATTCATGATAACGGAGCGGTGCATGGTGCCCACACTGGCCACGCCTACCTGTCAGGTCATGTCCTCGTTCTCCCACGCCGAGGAGTTCATCTCATATCCACGCTAAAAAGGTCTCATAAAAGACATCTTGAAGTCCCAAAGCTACAGCAATCAAACAAAACCTAATCCGGTTTCGCTATGCAGCCAGAGCCGAAAGAGCAGGTAGTAGCAAATGATCGCCGTAGAGGTTTTCAGTTCGCGACGCCACCGGAGGGAATTTCCGTACTTTCTCAGTGACGCTGCAATGGCTGGGCCAGCTGGAGTACATTACAGCTGTCAACCCAGACGTCTCCAGCTGGATCTTGCGATGACGATTCCTGTCGTCATCCCCGAAAAATGACGGCAAAGTCGACTAGGGATGACCGCAAAATCCTTAAATTGAAGTGGTAACTTCCATGTAGCTGACTACGGGCGTCGGCGGCACTTGAAATCTCAACCGACTTATTCGCCACTGAGAGTTATTACGCGCAGTTTGGTTGGCGGACAAGATCAAGCGCTGTGTGAGACTAATTCAAACGACTTCCAATCTTTATGACCAACCCATCACAATCCTCTCCGCTGCATTGGCACTTTATCCTTTGCAAATTTATACAATCTCGTGTAATAATCTTTCAGGCAGAGATTGGGTGTCAATTTCAGCTTGGAGCCGACCGAGTAAATCTGGGCGAACGCCTGCACGGACTGGATAAGCACCTGTAAGAGATTCCGGCTGTCAGTCCTGGTCAGAAAATTTGATCCATTTTTCCTATGTCATTTTCTAGTCATTGCCTCAGCTTAGTTTGGGCGAAAGAATCTTATATGGGAGACTCGACCTGGTCATGCTGGTTGCCACGTGATGTCTCCTGAAACAACCTCTGAAGTGATCTGCTCGACAATCTGCGCGTCATTTCGTGTTTGTTGGGCTTCGATTATTTAAGAAAGCATACACGCGATGAAGCGACTCGGGAGGGTTTTTTGTCCTTGAAGTGCCATCTTCGGTTCTGCACTCTTAACCGTTAGGCCTGTCTCGGGAGCCAGCGACAAAACGGAGGAGGCCGGAATGAACATTCATCACTTATTGCCCGTCCTCAGCCGTCCATACTCTGATGTTGAGTTCGAAATCTCAGTGAAAAAACAGTCTGTATGCAGTCTAGGTCACCGTGGACTTGTTACCGCTTTATGACTAACTGCAGCAAATCAGCCAGAAATTTCCGTTTCAATCTGCCCTGTCTTGTCGGCAAATTCCCCGCTGTTCGGCCGCCTGTAAAATTTCTATATTGGAACCATAAAACGAAGTGTACATTCAGTCCGGATGTACACTGGAATCGGAACTTCCTGTGATACAGGTGGCCCCACGCTAGATTCGAGGAAGGGTACTTATTCCCGTGTCCCACCTCTGATGCCGGGGAGAGGGGGATTCCTGCCTTCCCCCCCCCCGTGTCGCACCGCCTTCCGTTCAGCTTGCCTGTGTTGTCTCGCTTGGGTTGACTTTTTAGGTCTATTAAGTGGGTTCCGGTCACACTTATTCTTTTACTCGTATTCAGTTATAGGAAGGGAAACTGCTGCAACTTTCCTGTTGTCCGTATAGGCTTTTATCTCTAGTTAGGTTCTCTGGGGTTCGTGCGGATTATAAACGTGATTTAGCTACTCCTGCCCCCTAACCAGTGTCTTGTATTGTTTTAGTATATGACTGGTTCCCAACCCCAACGATTGGCTGCCGTCACGAACTCTCCGCAGGCTGCCTATGCGTACCCCAGTCAGTACCACCATCTCCAGTATCCAATGACCACACAACAGCTTTCGCCCGCTCAGCCGCTAGTTCCTGCAACCCAGTCGGCGACATCAGCCTATGCAATTCCCCCTGCCACCTCTCCGCGTGAACAGCAGCAGGCGCCGATCAACCTCGTCTCCGACTTCCAGGCTCTGAGTCTTCAAGCTGGTCCGCCAGCTGCTGTGGCTTTCCCTTCTGCAACGGTGACTGGGGACTTTGCCGACTGCTCACGGTCCGGTGATGCGACTCGCTTTTCTGGTGACACCGGCGCCGCCTACCCGGTCGTCTTTAGGGCGGAAGTGCCGCTCGATCCATATACAGTGGAGCCAGTAATGTACGCTGCCGTTGCTCCGCAAGCGCTGTATCAACAGCCATCTCAACAACCGGAACCACTGCAGCCATCGGTGGAAGAGAATTCCACTTCCCTAGCGACTGCGGGGGTTCCTGTCACCGGCGATGGTCTCAGTGAACCGGCGGTGAAGGTTGATACTGCACAGCAGCAGGCTGCGACAACGGAGGGGCAAGAAAAGCCTCCAGAGCCCAAAGACGATGATTCTCCCAAGTCCATGCCTCTAAAGGAAGCGGGGACGACCACCACCCCGCCTAGACGGCATAACCAGACACCGCCCCAACACAGTCAACAACGACCCGCTCCTCGCCGCTCACTTAAGGAGGCTGATCATCAGTCGTCTGTGCATCATAGTCACCAACGTAACATGCCCCCCAAGCCGAATACTACGCCTTCGACAGCTTCGACCTCGGTTACTCCCCCCAGCAATGAAGATTCGGTTTCCGCAGCTGGTGGCACCGCGTCCCAAGAGTCTGGTCATTCTACTTCTATTTGTGCAAATGACGCCTCAACAGTGGCTTTCTCAGCCTGAGGTGTAACAGTGTGCTAAAGGGAGAAAGCGAATCGGTTCTGCTTCTTTCCTTCCTCTTGTCTTCGTCAAGGGAAATCCCAGGACTAAGTGTGTACATATTTTTTTTATGTGGACCCATCCCATCCGACTGATGCTGCTGACTCCCAAACACTTCGGTTGTGGTGTTTCCGTCGCCCCTCACCCCGCCCGCGCCTTGCTCCTTCCACGTCCTTTTTGCACACGCTGGTCTAAGCAACGCTGAGGCGGTGTCCTGTCTCAACAGTTGTAGTTCACCTGCCTTCGGAACGACACTATCGCATCTGCCCGCGGACTCCTAGGGAGCAACCGCATTCACACGCGCGCGATTTCCTCTGTGTTTGGTGAGGTTTTTGTACTTTTTGACGTCGCAGCAGCTTCTCCCACAGCGACAGTCTGTTTTTGCGTTTTGATGACTTTGAGAAATTTCGGTGCTTTATTTTTGTTTCCTTTTTGTACCACTTACTTCAAATTCTTTCCCCCCTCCACGCATTATCCACTTTACAAACAAACGCACAGTACCTCCGACCAGCACCATCTTCAACCATTCTCTTCGTTCGGGCCCTTTTCAGCCACTTCCCACGCATCGTTTCACTTTCCTTTCTCAATCCAAGACGCTGCTGCTCGATACATTTTGTCACGCATCATGGCGAACTGACGATCGCCGGTCTTGTCGTCACGGGGCGCCTTCCCCCCTTCCCCCCCCCCTCCGTGCCACGAACTCGACTTGCACGATGCTCCCTCTGCCCCCCTCCCTGGCGCATTTCGCTCCGTGTAGCCCATATGGGTGCGCGTGTGTGCTGACTCGGTTCGTGCTCACAAATCTGCGCCGTTTAGCACCACGAAGAGCTCTTGAGAAGTCCAGAAGTGCGCGGGCTGTTATCCCGTTCTATCTCAGCTGCGCGTACGCGCGCATGATCTCTCCTCCTCTCCCCCTCGCATTGTCCCTCTTCTCTGGCCTGTCGCGTCCGACCGCGATTATGTAACCTTTTCCTAATGTAAATTTGTGTACCACCCATGCGATCTTTCTGCTGGTCATCGCCCTTCTCGTCCTCACGGCACCATCTTTCAGCAGAGATTGCTCACATCCGGGCGCAGTATGTGACTTGGTCGCAATTGCTGGAACTGAGACCTGCCCGAAAGTTGTGGCTGACAAATCAGACCCTGATATCAGCCAATCTTTGGTAGAGGGGCGCTCACCGATCGTTCTTATGGACCGTTCCGTTGTGCCTCCCGATCCCAACCAGCAGCCGTACAGTGGTGCATGATATAGGCAGAATGACATTACCGACAAAGGCAAGGGAGACTGGAATGGCCATTTCCGGCTTATTGGCCGTCGTCAGCCAGTCATACCCAACCCCGAAGTGTGCAACACCCGAGGCTCGAACTCGCGACCTGTTAGTTAGAAGTCCACACTAACCACGGGGCCGCGAGCCAATCTCTGGAGTTCGACGGAGTAGTTGTCTTGGTCGCGAGCAGGTTCCACTGTCGCTGTTTTGGCGCTTCACCCGTGCAAGAGGTCGTTGGGTCAGTTAATTTGCGCTTTCTCGTTTATGTTCTGACACTGTGCCCTGCGAACACTGCCAAAACCAGGGGAGGGACTCGCTCTCTCGGTTACATGCACGCGGTCTGTATTACCTTCCAAATATTCTGACCTATTTACCCGGGATCCACCCATTGCCTACTCTGAGCGCCTTGAGGAATCGCTCCTTTACGGACTCTGTGGCCCGTTAGAGGTTACAGTTGCCTCTGGGACACGGATCAATGACGGGGGCCGGTGAAAAAGCTGGGGTCTTATTCTAGGTTGAATACAGCACCACAAAACCCAAAAAACTCAGTCTGGGTGTTAGCCGGCTGCGGACTGGCCGGTGTGTTCGCAGGTGGCAAGTGGTGGGGCACCTCTAGCGAAGGCAAGCTGCGGAATAAACATGCTCACAGATCAGAGGTACAAGGATTTGTGGCCCATTCGGCGGTAACCAGTGGTGACTGAGTGCCAATTTGACTAGTCGGTTGTCCGCGTGAGCGTTGCCCACCACTTAAGGCATTCCTTGCGCTTGTCCAATACTATCCTGGAACCGAAGGGGCAGGCAGGGATATTCCCCTTAGAATCCAAGATCTACCGGTAGCTATCTTCACCTCCCCCAGTAGATTGTCGTGTGGTGAGGTACAAGTCAGCCGGGATTTTCGTCTGGTGTAGGGTTGTGATCTTCCCCTGGTTGAACCAGTGGTGACGACATTTGCCCAGGCTTGCCGCCACGCTTATGGATCATTTCCTGCTGAAGAGCCGTAGTGGCCTTTCCGCTGATTGTCCCTACTGCTCCTTGTCTTGACTCACTAGGGGTCTCGTCTATGATGGACGCGTCTGGCGTTAAGCAGCGCCTGTCGCCCCCATCTGGAGGTTATCTATTCCTCCTCGGCTTATGTTGACTACAACGGGTCGGCAAAGTAAATGTATCCGCGGTGACACAGAACCGGTCACGTCACCGTCTCTTCCCGCCCACGCAAGTTACTGCTCGCCTTCTCGTGTCGCTGACTAGAAGAGCGTGATCTGCCCCCACCCTCAGTTACTAAACCGCCTCGTTTCTTGCGTGGAAGTGTGCTCCAGAATTTTAAAGACGAATGTTGACCAAACAGAACCCCCATTGTGAGTTCGTCTCAAGGAGCGATACACGCAAGCGACTGGAAGGGTTCTCGGTGGGAGGGCAGCGCGAAAAAATGCACAAGTTACTTTGGGTTGGGGGGTGGCGGGTCAACCAGTTTTTTTAGGTTCCTCTAGGTCATATTATCCTCAGATGAGGTTCACTGATTACGCAAAACGTGAAGGTGCGGTAGATGTGCCTTCGTCCTGACGCTGCCTGTCTCATCGTACATTAGGGAGGCAAATACCTGAACAAAATCCTTTTTCACCTTCCCGCTTATCAATGTTTTCTCCGACGACTTGTAACCAATAGGGAGTTCAAAGGCGCTCGCCTATATTTCCCTTCATAAACTGGTACCAGAGACTAAGTCAGTCTACTATGGCCTTTCAGCGGTGTAACTCCCTCCTCAACAACGGTCAGTCCTTTATAACCTCATTGGTTGGGTAGGATCGTCAGGCACAATGCGCTGCAGTCTATCAGGTCCTAACTGTAATCAGTAGGAAAATTTTCGTTTGAAAGGGGACCTTGATTCTAGAAAGTGTTCTTGCCTACCTCACGGCCTCATCGAATGCCTCCTTGACTGCGTTTTGTCTATCCAAATCACTGCGGCTCAGATTATACGAGACGCTGGCTCCTACTAACATCCGGGGCGTCAGCGTGCAAAACCAAACTCCTCAATTCCAGGATCGACGTCGAGTCTGAAGATAAAGACCGGACTCAGCGGCCCTCGGGAGATCCCATTTATTCGGTCTGTTGCGGAGTATAGGATACTTCCACAGGCTGCAGCAAATACTACTTAAAAAGGGATGAGGCAGAGTGGTCGGACGATGGAATCGATTATGCATTCGCTTGCTTGGACACCATATGCCTTCCGGTGCTCAGTTTGACATATTAGAGCCCTGCTGTGTGAGGTGCTTCGAAGCAGTCAGAAGACTATGGTATAGGGCTGGGCGCGAGTACACTAAATGACCAAAGAATCCAAGTTGGAGTCTTGGGTCCTGCAAACCTGGGGTTAGGCATGGCTGGCTGACGATGGCTTGTAAACGAAAAATGACCCTCCCGGCCTTTTACCCCCCTTGACAATAAATTGCATATCACCTTTGTTTGTTGCAACATGCTGGGCATCTGTGTCAGCTAACATTACTTGATAGTGAAAGCCATTCGGGAAGGGATGTAGAAGTCTGGCTGGCGAGTGTGCATGTCTGCCTGAATTTGTCTTCAGGCCGGCGCGGGTACAGCTTTGGAAGGAAAGCCAGGGATGTCGGTGGTCTGCATACGCGGAGTTCATGGAAGTCATCGCGGGCTGGCAGTTTTCATGTCATTACCCCACACCGACTCACGTGCGGGAATTCGGTTAAGCAGTTTTGGGCCGCGGTACCTCTAGTATCTACATGAAGTTCGTTTAGGCGTACATAGCCAGAGTTGCATAGCCTTTATTGTGTCGGCCCCGTCGTTCCGTGTTTTTGGGCGGTCGTTTTCCATAAAAATACTGTGTCTCCTTCCAGGTGACGGTAAAGTTCGTTGAGTTTCAAGATGTCCCTGAAATATCGACCAGCTTCTCGGATCTAGGTGTTCTCAATTCCTTAACCGAAAACATAATTGCTGTAGTGAAAGGCTATGTAAGACGCTCAGGGAAGTTATCTTTCCCTGAATGATAGTTTTCTTCATAAAAAAGATACGATCGCTGGAGCAAGAACTATATTGGCCTGACGTTTCGGACTCTATCCTGAGCCCCTCGTCAGAGAGTCGCAGGAAAGGATAGTAGAGGCACAAGGCGCATAGGACACAGTCGCCTGGCACGCACAGGCCTACTTTAGTGAGCAGCACTCGCGTTCATCGTTGGGGGCCGTATCTGGTGCAACGATTGCTTGTCATTCCGTAACCGGGTCGTTAATTGCCATGACTTCATCACCGGTGTTGATTTCTGGCAATTTGGTTCACTGTCACCGGAACT